AATCGCCATCTTGGCGCTAGTCGATCCTGTGGGAAAATCTCTGAATTGGCCACTTGCTCCACAGCGTCCTCAAACTCCTTGTCGGTCTCAACTACCTGTCACGAAGTTTATCAATGAAAAATTATTTTAAGATCTCTGAAATTTTATAATTTGTGCCAAAAAAATGTTCACAAATGCAAGAGACGGAAAATTCCTTAGCATTACCCAATTTTTAAAGATCAGGAAAATGACTCAAAGAATTTTTTCATTTGGATGATTTTCATTTTTGGCTTTATTTTAAAATGGCCACCTCTTGGCAAACATTTGAAAAGATAAAACAGCAACTTTTTGAAATGCATGCACTTTTTACCCCAAGGTATGCTGTGTGAAACCCAATTTTTATCTGGCTTCCTTAATTTTGCTAAAAAAAAAATTCGTTTATGCAGCATTTTTGCTATACATGAGTCAGCTATTTTATGTATGGTACCCGCAGTAATCGTATAAATCATGCCTACCACCTCAATTACCTCGCATAACTTATTGAAGAAAAAAATGAGTATCCAACATAAATACATTGTATTACTTGTACAGTAATCTTTCAAATTGTTTCTGAAAGAAGTGATATGCCTGTTTCATACTTGGGTTATGTGTTGCTCAAATAATAGATTTATCACATAAACTCAAAAAGCACCCCTTCCAACTTTGCATGCAAATTGCAAAAGTTGGGTACTTGTGGTATACAAATCTTCAAAAATAGAAAAACCCACTTTGAGTCATAATTAAATTAAACAAAAAGTTCCAAACAAGTGCCGCATATTTAAAAAACCACAATATTTGAAAATGTAATTTTAGGCTCAAGCAAAAGCTGGATAAAATTTCCTTCACTTATGAAACAAATTCTTAAATTAAACGTTTCAGTAATCTTTTATCTGAGACTAAGTTCACATTTTCTACTCGCTGAAGTTTTCAAACAACAGTATCGAATTTTGAATCAGGCAACATTTTACATAGATTTTTTGCAACATATTTTTGGAATATATGTGTTTTTTTATGTGCTTTGGGATAGATATTTTGGAAAAATTGTTCTTGAAATAAGGGTGCAGTACACTACATCTTACCTTATGGTGCATGGTACATGGTACCTTGCAATTCAACCCTAATCCATTGCTGGACTAGTGTCCAATTTCAAAGCACTAAAATTGCAAGACAACATCAATGCCATGTAGAAAACATGCCATTTGATGTTTCATGTCTCTCTGCAGGTTCCATTGTGTGGCAAAGGTAAAATTTAGAGTCAGTACCTCCTAGCAAAGTTATCTGTCAAATTGTGGGATGGTCACATTGCAATTGCAGGAGGTCAAATAATTCCAAGGTGCACTTGATATTAAATACTGTATGTATGCATTTACTATATGGTGATGGTAAATGATGAGAGGAATTTTTCTTCATGCAAGAATGACTGAAGAAAACTATGAAAATGATTCCCCCCCCAAATGTTTTTTTAAACAAAAAACATAATAATAAGAAAAAACGCCCAGGAATTTCCTCCGCTATGAGGAAAAATACTGTAATCTAATTAAATGAAACAAGATAACCAACCAGAGGAGATCCTTTGGCATCCAAAATGACATTGAAATGGTTCCCAATGTCGAAAGTCTTGCACGGATAGTAAATCCTGTACCCGTGGAAATATTCAAACGTGGAGCTGAGTTTCGGGTGCAGAAGCGCCCCATTTTCTGCTCTGGCGTCCACCAAAGTCGTTTTGAACCTGTGGCGAAGTGTTTCCAGTTTGGCTTCTCCTTGGACTTCCAGGACCATGACCAGCAGTGAATCCGCGGTTCGCATGGCTTTCACTATCGTCGAACAATCCGAAGGTGTCAACAAATCCGCAGATGCACCGAATTTGACTTTGACGATTATCCTCATGATGATTCTGT